GCACTATCTTTCCATGTTCAGTTCCAAGGAGTCTCAGCGTGGTATGGGCTACATGCCTAAACGTGGCCTGGAAGTGAATAAGTGTGAGATTGCCAGGTGAATGACCCCCTGATCCTGACCAGACCTTCAGCGCCCAGCCAGCCATGCTGTAGAGTGCCACTCACTTTCCTGTCTCCACAGATTCTATAAGCTGCATGAGCGGAAGTGTGAGCCCATTGCCATGACAGTACCCAGAAAGGTGATGCTCCTCTGCTCCTCCCTGGGCGCTAGGACAGAAACTGACCATGGGGGCTTGTAGGGAGGGGCAGGAACATAAACACTCTCGTGACCAGCCTTGGCCTTGCCCACAGTCGGACCTGTTCCAGGAGGACCTGTACCCACCCACTGCAGGACCGGACCCTGCCCTCACAGCTGAGGAGTGGCTAGGTGGTCGGGATGCTGGCCCCCTCCTCATCTCTCTCAAGGATGGCTACGTGCCCCCAAAGAGCCGGGAGCTGAGAGTCAACAGGGGCCTGGACAGTGTCCGCAGGAGAGCCACACCAGAGGCCAGCGGCACTCCCAGCTCGGTGAGGCTGGTGGGGAGCTGGAGTAGCAGGGCAGGAAGATGGACTAGGGCAAAGGATGCGTGGATGTGCTCAGTGTCTCCCAGGGAAGAGTTGGGTGTTTATAGAGATTTCCAAGCTCCTAATGGTGGGAGATTCTTGGAGGGCAAGGAGTGGGTGACCCCGAGGCCCTAGAAGCCAGGTGGCAAGCTTCGGGCCTACAGTAATCAGGTAGTAGCTGTTGGGACCAAAGAGCCCAGGCCTTGGGTTTCTTGGAAGGGTTAGCTGACGTCGGAGGAAGGGAAGCTACAGAGAACTGGGCCTAATGCAGTGCTGGCTCCTCCAGGACACTGTGTCACGGCTGGAGGAAGAGATGAGGAATCTGCAGGCCACGGTGCAAGAGCTACAGAAGCGCATGGACAGGCTGGAGGAGACTGTTCAGGCCAAGTAGAGGACCCCAGAGCCTTCGGCTGGGCCAGCCGTTCACCCTGCTCCCACCCCAACCCTCAGGCCATATGGTGATAAGACGAAGTAATAAAATGGCTTTATTTTCTGGTACCTCTCAGACTCTGGTGAACTGAGCAGCCCCAAGGCTTCCCCCTGATAGTTCTGAATACATTCAGGTTGTGGGTCACTTGGTTGCAGGTCACTTCCAAAAGCACTCTAGCAAATGAACGGGGCCTTGGTTGGTAGGCTACCCAGTGATGAAGCTGAGAGACTGTTCCCTGTTTCCTAGCTCCATCTTGGAATGGAAGGTCTGAGTCATCAAACCCCTATCTTAGAGCCCCAAGATTTTCCATATTCACCCAAGTCTTTCTTGTGTTTTCTTTGATAGTGCTGGGGACCAAAGCCATGGCCGCTGACATGCTAGGGAGGTTCTTCATCATTCTAGCTCTGCCCCTAGCCCTGACCCCAAACTAGCCCTTCCTGGTCAACTTGAGCACAAACTGCATACAGCTGTCCCAACACTGGTGCTTATGGGGAAACCAACAAGCACACGGTGACACTTCAAACCACAGACTCAAAGAACAAAAAGAACGAGACTTCTGATCAGAAGCGACTCACACCTGCAACCCAAACACTTGGGAGACTGAGGAGGACTGCTGGGAGTTTCAAACCAGAGACTCAACAGAGTGGTTATCAAGTGAGCAACTGCCTCAAAAACCAAACCAGACCAGAAATGGAGCTGGGATGTAGCCTGGGTGGCAGCATGCACCAGGCCCTGCAAAAGCCAGGTGTCATGACCCACACCTGTAATCTCAGCACTTGGGGGGTAATGGCAGGAGGATCAGAAGTCAAAGCTAGCCTACGATAGAGACCCTGTCTCAAAAAACAACTGTAATAAGACAAACAATAACCAAAAAAAAAAAAAGAGGAGGCCAGAAAGATGATTTGGTGGTTCAGTGTTTGCTCTGCAGTCATGAGTGCTGAAAGTCAGATCCCAGCACCCATATAACAAGATGGGTGTCCCTGCATACCTGTAGCCTCAGCTGTGATGTGAACAGAAACAGGACTGTGCAGCTGGCTGGCTTCCAGCCTAACAAAGATGCAAGCACCAGGTTCAGGGAAAGAGCCTGCCTCAAAGGAATAAGTAGAAAGTGACAGAGGACATCTGACATCCTCTTCTGGCCTCCACTCATGTGTAGACATGTACACATATACATGTACACTCATGACACCTGCATGCACATACATTCATATACATAAGTAGAAATAAATCTTGTGCTGGAGACATAGCTCAGCAGTTAAGAACATTTGCTGCCCTTTCAAGGGACCAGAATTCAGATCCCAACACCCACATCAGGTGGCTCACAACCACCTGCAACTCCAGCTTCAGGAAACTTGACACCCTCTGCAAGCAACTACACCCGAATCCACAACTACAAATGAGCCAGGTGTGGTGACACGTGCCTTTAGCCCAGCACTGTGGAAGCAGAGGCAGGCAGATCTCTAAGTTCCGAGACAGCCAGGAGAGAGCCATAGAGAGTCCCTGTCTCAAACGAACAAACCAACAAACAAAAACAAAAACAACTTGGAAGACAAAGTCCCATAAGGGCAAAGCTTAGGAAACAGGGAACAGCCTGACTCTGGACTGAAACACAGAGCAGGGCAATGGTTGGTGGAGGGCAGTTCTGGAGTTATGGTTTAAGTAACCCCTTTCATTCACAGCATCCTGCTGCCTCGGCGCATTTCCTGTGGGTTTCACAGGACCCGGCATCTGAATAAGAGACAGAAAAGATCAGATCTCTTAAACCCTGTCTACAGGAGTGTTTGTTTTGTGTGTTTTGTGACTGTCTCACATAGCCCAGGGTGGTCTTGAACTCCTAACACTTCTATCTCTACCTCTCAAGTGCTATTCTAGGAGTATATCACGATGCTGGTTTATATGGCACTAAGGACTGAACTTAGGGCTTCATGTGTGCTAGGCAAGAGCTCTGCCGACTAGCTGTATCCTCAGTATGGGATAGCTTTTGGTGCCTAGCTGGCGGGAGACTCCAGAGCTGGGATGAGATACAGGGGCTCAGGAGGGTATCATGTGTGGTGGTATTGTGTTCCCCAAAATATTGTGTAACTTAATAAACTTATCTGGGGTCAGAGAACAGAAAAGCCACAAGATACTTAGGCTAGAAAATGTTAGCACACGCCTTTAATCCTAGCATTCCAGAGACAGAAATCCCTCTGGATCTCTGTGAGTTCAAGGCTGCATTGGAAACAGCCAGGCATGGTGACTCCTGCCTTTAATCCCAGAAAGTAGTCTTTAATCCCAAGGAGTGGTGGTAGAAAGCAGAAAGGTTTATAAGGCGTGAGGACCAGAAACTAGAAGCATTTGGCTGGTTAAGCATTTGGCTGGTTAAGCATTCAGGATTTCGAGCAGCAGTTCAGCTGAGAGCCATTGGGATGAGGACACAGAAGCTTCCAGTCTGAGGAAACAAGACCAGCTGAGGATCCAGCGAGGTGAGATAGCTGTGGCTTGTTCTGTCTCTGATCTACCAGCATTGACCCCAATAACTGGCCTCAGGTTTGATTTTATTAATAAGAACTTTTAAGATTCCTGCTACAATCATGGCCATCACAGGGCTGAAGTCATACAGTTCAGAGAATACCCAGGACCCCAGCCCTTTCCTCCTCAGCATGCCATGGAGTCATCTGGATATAGAGAATGACACACAAACATGCCTGCCCACCCAGCTGTGTTTCATCCTCTGACAGGACATGTGAGCCTGGGCAAGTCCCTTCTCTCCTATAAACTGGAGGAGGGCCATCAATGGAGAATGAAGGGGTTACTCCTCTGGAGATGCAGGCTAGGTTACTCTCTGCATCTTTCCTGTGTCCTCTTTTAGGATCCTTGTGAGTAGATTGAATCACTAGTTCTCCAGAGGACCTACAAACGTTCAGGAAATGATCCTGGGGATGGAGAAGGCCTGACCAGTGACTATGACTCCAGCTTGATCAGTCTCTTTGATGGAAGAATGAGAAGGTGGAGGTAATGAAGTGTTAACTGTCAAGAGACAGGCCTGGACAATATGGGGAAGAACTGAGCGTGGTGATGACATCTGTAGTCATAGATGCAGGGAAGACGACGGGGAGAGGACCATCTGAGTGGTCCTCTCTGAATTTAAGAGCAGCCTGGAAAACACATTGAGAGCCTGTCTAAAAGACAAACAGGACAAAACCAAAGATCCACAGAGGAGAGGAATTAGATGTGCAGGAGCTGGACTGAACATCATGCTCCCTGAGGCCTGAAAAGAGACTGACAACATGACTGGACATGTATATCTTGTTTCTCTCTGATACCTCCAGGAGCCTAGACAGAGGGAGACAGTAGGAAAAGGCTCAGGGTTTCTGGTTCCGGAGGGCTGGCAGAGCAGGAACACCCTGCTTTCTGAGGGCTGACCTTGGTGACGGCATCGAGACCACAGGAGCAGACAGAGAAGGTTTACAAGGCATCCTTGACAGAGACTAAAGGACAGAACAATGCCAAAACAATGGCTGGAGGAGAGGCAGGGGAAAGCGAAGTCCTTGCCTCAGCCTCAGAGCCCTCAAACAGCACACTGACACAAGGTGGACCTGATTTACAATTTAATGGCTGTTCAGGCCTGGGTCCCTCACTTCCGCCACTGCTCTGGGGTCAGAGTTTTCTGCTCAAAGGCATGGATGTGCGGGAGCTCTTCAGCTAAGCATTCATTCACCAACCTGGGAGAGAGATGGGATTGGGAAATGATCGGCCTCGGCTAGGGTGGTAGGCTCCGAAGCAAACGTGACCAGGGAGATCGGAGATGTCTCCAGTAAGTGGGGATTCCAGGAGAGGACAGAAATCCAACCACAAAGGCAGGGGCACTCTCGGGATATGGGGCGCATCACGGCTTTGGGCGTGAGTTAGTCCCCACCCGAGCAGGCAGCGACCTGGGCTGCCGTCCCGCGCCCGAAGCGCTGGGCGGGGGGCTCCCGGGGGCTCACCGGTGTCTCTGGAGCAGTGGCTTTCCCTCGAACTTAGCCGACACCACCAGGACTCGGAAGCTGGTCGCGCAACGGTTGAGAGTCGTGTCCTCCACCTCCTAGCCGGCAGGAGACCCGGACCATGAGGCACTCGCCCTCCCGGGAGCCCTTCCCCACCGCCCGAGGCCCGGGCCCCGCACTCACCACATGCTCTGCCTCCAGGTCCCGCTGCAGCTTCTCGCGGAGGTAGTCGGCGCTGAGTTCCATGGCCACAGCCCGGTGGGGGCACAGGCAGGAGTGCCCAGAACCTCGCCTCGGGTCCCGCCACCCCCGCCTTCCGCCCTCACTGCAGCCACTTCCTCCACGCCGCTCACTTCCGCCCTTCCTGGGGCGGCCTCGAAAGCAGCACTTCCGTCTCCCAGCACAGCGGAATGCGCAGCACTTGGGAGGTTCCGCCCCAGCAGTTAGCCAATCCGCGCCGGGCTGGAAGGCGGCGGGCGGTGAGGCGGCGTTTGCTCATCCTCCTCCTGCCAGCAGGCGGCGCACCAAGCCGCGCTGCCGGGTTTCCAGGGCGCTGCGCGATCATCCTCGAGTGCTTTTTCCTAAACGAACGTTTTGCAGTCCTGGCTACGCAGCCCTTTCCGAGGTCCAAGGTCCCAGAAACCACCCCCCACTTCGGACCTCCAACCCAGAAAGTCCAGATGGGACCTACACCAAGGCCGGGGCGCTTCTTCGGTGTCTACCTGCTCTACTGCCAGAACCCTCGGCATCGGGGCCGCGTTTACGTGGGATTCACTGTCAATCCTGCTCGTCGGGTCCAGCAGCACAACGCCGGTCGCAAAAAAGGTGGCGCCTGGAGGACCAGCGGGAGAGGACCCTGGTAAGAGGGCGCTGGTGTCTTGCCGGAAGGCTCCGGATAGGAGGCGGATCGCCTGGACAGAAGCCCAGAGACAGAGGCGGGGCCGTTTCTGTGATCATGGGCGGTGCCGAGTCCCTGGCCTGTCACCCGTAGCGGGAAAGGCGGCACCTCGTGGACTTTGTTCAGGTTAGATTCAGATTTGGGATGGTAGCCGGGTGGTGGTGGTGCACACCTTTAATCCCAGCACTCGGGAGACAGAGCCAGGCGGATCTCTGTGAGTTCGAGGCCAGCCTGGTCTAAAGAGTGAGTCCCAGGACAGGCTCCAAAGCCAAAGGCTGGAGAGATGGCTCAGAGGTTAAGAGCACTGACTGCTCTTCCAGAAGTCCTGAGTTCAATTCCCAGCAACCACATGGTGGCTCACAACCATCTGTACTGAGATCTGATGTCCTCTTCTGGCCTGCAGTCATACGTGCTGTATACATAATAAATAAATAAATCTTAAAAAAAAAAGATTTGGCATGGTTAATTGATGAACGGGGTCACAAGCTAAGGGCTGGTCTGTAACTCCAGTACCAGGGTATGGAACGCCCTCTTCTGACCTCTGCTCCCACCAGACACGCACGTGGTGCACATACATAAATACGTACATACAAGCAAAAACACTCATACACATAAAATAATAAAATAAATCTAAGAAAAAAATTAAATACAAAAGCTAAGTTATGGGATCAGACTAAGCGTTTGTCTTAGGGTTACTGTTGCTGTGATGAAACACCATGACCAAAAAGCTTTCTGGGGAGGAAAGCATTTATTTGGCTTACTCTTCCACACCACTGTTCATCATTGGAGGAAGTCAGGATAGGAACTCAAACAAGAAAGAGTCGATGCAGAGGCCATGGATCCAGGACCACCGGCCCAGAGGTTGTACCACCAACAAAGGCCTGGGCCCTTCCACGTCAATCACTAAGAAAATGCTCTACAGGCTTGCATACAGCCCGGTCTTATGGAGGAATTTTCTCAATTGAGACTCCCTCTTCTCTGATGACTATACCTTGAGTCAAGTTGACATAAAACTATCCAGCACAGGGCCCATCAACAGGTGAAGAAAATGTGACATATGCAAGGTGTAGTTTTTAAAATCAGTTTGTTTTAATTTGGTTCATATGAATGTTTTGCCTTCAAGTGCACCGTGTTCATGCAGTGCCCGCAGAGGTCAGAAGAGGGCGCCGGATCCCCTGGAATGGGAGTTACTGACAGTTCTGAGCCCAGGTCCTCTGCAGTGCTCCTAACTGAACCACCTCTCCAGCCCCCAAATGCAATTTGACTCAGCCATAACGATGAATGAAATTATACCCTTGTGAGAAAGTGGATGGAACTGGACATCATCATGTTAAGTTATATAACAAGTATTTCAAGTGTTCTCTCATTTGGAATTTAAAGAAAAAGTTATGAAATTATGTAAGAAGAGAGTTATTTGGAATGAGGAAGAAGACAAAAAAAGAGGGAAGTGGTTATGATAAGCAATGTCAAAGTACATTACATAAATTTAACTATTATTTTGTACAGTTAATATACACCAGTAAAACCTGTTTTAAAGACTGGGATCAGGAGACAGGGGCCCTAGTCAGCAAGGCTGGGGCTAGAATAATACTTGCAAAGGAGAGGAATCAAGGCCTGGGTGAGGAGCCTGAGGTTGGCAGGTGCAAGGCTCTTACATCTCCATGAAAGGTTCAAGTCCTGATGGCCAGGTGTGAAGTGGTGTGAACTGGGCTCTCAACGTGAACTGGAACCCGGGGGGAGGGGGGAATCAGTGTGATGGGGACTTACTGGCCGTGCCCTCTCCTCCCAAGGGACATGGTGCTGATCCTGCACGGTTTCCCGTCTGCTGTGGCCGCCCTTCGGGTAAGAAAGGTGTCTTAAGGGCAGGCTAGCCTGGGGCTTTGAGTTTGTCTAGACGACCTTGCCCAGGACCACCCTGACCTCGTTGTCCGTGTCCCTTCCTATAGTTTGAATGGGCCTGGCAGCATCCTCAAGCCTCACGCCGCCTGACTCACGTGGGGCCGCGCCTGCGCAGCGAGGCCTCCTTTGCCTTCCACCTGCGTGTGTTGGCGCACATGCTCCGAGTTCCTCCGTGGGTGCGCCTCCCTCTAACCCTGCGCTGGCTGCGACCTGACTTCCGCCACGAACTCTCGCCGGCACCACCACCACACATGCCCATTGCCTTTGGGCCGCCGCCACCCCCAGCCCTTGGTCCCGAAGCGACTCACTGCAAGTGAGGCTGACAGCGGGCGCCCGCTCGATCTTGATGCCAAGGCCAGCTGCATGCTATGTGCGCGTATGGTGCAGGTAGGGGCACACAGGGGCAGAGACCCTGGAGTTTGCCCTCCCTGACAGCGTCTAATGACGATCGTACTCTCAGCTGTTTCCGGGCCTGTCAGTACCTGCCAGGGGCGGTTAGATCCTTTGAATGGGCAACCAGCCACGGTGTAGGTCTTTCCTGGCCTCCTTTTGAAGTCATGGCTCTTTTCTGTGCTTCCTGCTTTATTTCCTCTCTTTCTTGCCTCACAAGCTGTGTGCTGCTCTCTCGAGTTACTTCCGTGTCTCCTTACCTGCCACCTCTGACAGGATGAAGAGGGCCCCCTGTGCTGCCCCCACCCTGGTTGTCCCCTAAGAGCCCATATCATCTGCCTGGCAGAGGAGTTCCTGCGGGAAGATCCTGGGCAGCTTCTACCCCTAGAGGGCCATTGTCCTAGGTGAGTCCAGCCCCCCTTCCCAGCCTGTGTAGGCCTGGAAAGAAGGTGCTCCGTGTTTCAGTCCTGGCTAGGGAATCTCACCTTGACACTCAGGGCCTCCTGGTGGAGGGCCGGGGGTGCCTGACTCTGCCTTCTCCACCAACTGCACCCTTTGGCAGCTGTAAGAACTCATTGCTTTGGGGAAGCCTGGTCGGGCAGTGCCACATGGACACCGAGGAGGAAGAGGACTTGGAATTGGAAGAGGTGAGAGGTGACTCTGGCCCCACTCTCCCCCAGTCCTCCAAGACTACCCCTGACCTACCCTTTCGTCCTTACAGGAGCACTGGACAGACTTGCTGGAGACCTGATTCTAAGTGTCCCCAACTTTCACCCTGTTCCTTCTCTGCCTCCGTCTTCAGTGCTTGGCAGCTTTTACTTGAGCACAATAAAAACGCTGAGCGAAGGGTACCTTCTGGTGTTTTCTCAGAGAAAGGAGGGAAGGAAGGAAGAAAGGAAGGGAGGGAGGGATGGAGTGAAGTCGAGGTTTTGGGCTACTTCCTTGCCTTTCTCAGAGGTAACAGTTACTGTCTTATTTACTTGCCCGTGGCTGTGATAAACACTGGGACCAGCGACTTGGGGAGGGAAGAGATTGTTTCACCTTACACTTCCAGGTAATGACCTCCCATCAGTGAGGGAAGTCAGGGTGGGCACCTGGAGCAGAAACCATGGAAGAAGGCTGCTGACTGGCACAAACTCTTGATGGTGCTTTAGTAGCACTCTCACACAGCCCAGGACCACCTGCCTAGAGTGGGCTGGGCCCTCTCACGTCAATCAACACTCAAGAAAATGCCCCCACAGACATGCCCACAGGCCCATCTGGCTGAGGCAGTCCCCGACTGAGGATCCCTCAGATATGGCTGGGCTGGGTAAAGCTGACAGCTGGGGCTGGACAGGTGGCTCAGTGGTTAAGCACACTGGCTGCTCTTCTAGAGGTCCTGAGTTCAATTCCCACGTGGTGGCTCACAATCATCCATAATGAGATCTGATGCCCTGTTCTGGCATAAAGTTGTACATGCAGGTAGAGCATTCATATACATAAAATAAATGAATAAATCTTTAAAAAATAAAGCTGATAGCTGAAGCTAAATAGAATAATTAAAAACCCAGGAGACCAGCACCTGTGGCTTGGAGACTGTGTGCCTCTGCTGGGAGCACAGAGGTCCTTGTGCTCACAGATAAGCATTAGGGAAAACAGGAATGTTAACCAAGCAAGATTGTTTTTTCAAGGGACAAGATGTTTTCTGCCCCGAAGGCTGGGAATGAGGTGGCTAACAGCCTGGGCAGCCCTCGTGCTATCTGTAGGGCCATTCCATACCTGGCTCCCCCGAAGCTTCCCCAACCAGGACCAGAGGTGGCTAGTAGCCCAGAGGACCTCTGCACTAGCTGTATGACTGAGACCACACCAGATCCCCCCAGGCCCTTAAGATAACACATGTAGCGTCTCTACAGAACCCACCTTCATGGAAGAAGTGACAGGTACTTTGAGAAGAGTTTTGATGTAATCGTGTCTCCTTGTGCACAGGGGATCATGTTACATTGGGAAACGCCCCCCAAATTGTACTGTCCTTAAATATGTGTAAAATAAGCTGCCCGGTGTCGGACTCTAGAAGCTTGAACCAACACCGGCTACTGAGTTGTGCTGAACTGTATCTCCTTTCTGCCTCACTCAGGCCATTTCTCTGCCAACCCTGGTGTTTGCAGAGAGCCCCACACGCCTCCAGAGCCAAGCTTGCTGCTAGATCTTCATCTAGATGTTACTGAACTTGGGAGTCACAGCCTATACCAAGTCAGTCTGAGCACCTGTCCTGAATAAGCCAATTAAAAGAGCCGAATTAAAAGTTCAAAGCAGAAAAAGGAAATTATTCAGTGTGGTCATACTGGGGAGAGGGACAAAGGTCCAGGAAACGCCTTGGGCACATCTTCAAGGTCCTTCAGTGAGGCCAAAGTTTAAATGGAGGTCCAAGGACATGCTCACCTAAGCAGCTCCAGTCAAGGTTTGCTCCCACCCACCACTGACATGCTATCTGGACTTCTATCTCGTCCTGTAAGGTGGTTGGACAGGTTGTTGAACTATGTGAGATCTCTTTCAGGGAGACAGCTTCCCTCTCTAGCTGGGGCCCTTTCTTTTCCCCAGCATGATTTTCCTGGAGGAAATTCCCATTTCTTCATTGTTTCAGGAGTCCAATAGTCAGCTTGAGAGACACAGAGTCTACTTAGGTCTTCATTTCTGCCAGGCCAGTGACATAAACACTGAGACTAAGGTGATGGCTGTCTGCTCTCCAAGGAGCCCTGTGGCTCACTCACATGTTGCTCTCTGGCTCTCTTCCCAGGAATCATGAGGTGAGGCTCCCTCTTGGAGCCTTCAGGAGACTGCCCCACTAACTACCGTTCTAATGAGGGTCCTTCTAGGACCCTTAGATGCCCGCCCTTCCCACAGCTCCCCCTGCTCTGACCTTCCCATGGTCCCTTCACAGGGTCCACGCTATCACTCTGGTTTCGAACGCTCGCAAACCAGGGAGTTCTCAGAAAACTGGAGGAAGGCCCAGCCTCAGCTCTCCTCACTGCTGGTCTGCACCAGAAAGCAGCCCCGCCCACCTTGTCCTGTCATTCTCCCCCTCGACCTCAACCTGGTGTGTTAGAAGCCGACCGACCTTCCTGCAGAGGTGGAATTCCCAGGGCCAACCAGGTGTAGATCACTGTTGGGAAAACAAAGCCCACCTATGGGTGCCTTCTCTGCTGGCTGTCCTTTCATGCTGTGCCCAAGGGCCAGCCAAGTTTTGGTTTGCAGATACGATTAGCTTGGTTCTAGCTGGGGTTCTCTAGAGGGTGACTGAGTACCCCATCTTCAACCCCTACTTCCTTCATGAAGGACAGCCAGTCTTAGTACTTAAATAAAGCTTCCTCTACTTCACCCTTTCAAGGAAACGGCTCTAAATTCCTCCCATATGGGACCTTCAGAACCCCACCCCCTGAAAGAACCCTGTACCCAAGGCCGCATACACAGTAAGCTGTGTGCCCAGGAGGCCACAAGGCCGGGTCCTCTTACATCAGGTGAACCTTTGCTCTGCCCAGCACCTCACTCCAACATGCTCCACCTGAGGCTTGCTCTGGTTGTGTGGGCGGCTCTTGTCTTGTCTCTCTGCCCGGGCTCTTCCTTTCTGTGTTCTTTCTCTGTGCTTACCCCATCTCAGTCATCTCCAGCTGAGCAGAAGTTTTGCTCATGTGTGGTAGAAGCTTCTAACCCCCCAAACAAGCTCAGTGCCTCAACTAACTGTATTTGTCCTTGGTGCCAAGTTGAAAATGGGCTGGGCACGTGGGATCTAAGGAGTGCATACCCTGAGTGGCTGCCTTACGTGGCTGGCCTGAGAAGCTGAAAAAGGGACGTAGTGGGGACAGGAGGTCACGGTGATAGACTGACAGCTGCAGTGGGAGGTAGTTGGAGAATCGAAGCAGGCTGCAAGCCGTGAGCATGGGCAGGTGCCAGGGGACCTTCTCTGGTACAGTAAGGCATCTCCTGGGAAGCTGCCAAACTTTGCATCTGGCCTCTACCCCCAAGAGTTCTTTAGTGGTCTGGCTACCAGTGGGGTACTGAGCTCAGGAAATGTTCTGCTGGTAAACTGTTGTTCAGCCAAACTGGGGACCACTGCCCTGAAGTTAGATCTGCCTTCCAGTCACAGCCCTACCAACTTGCTGGCTCTGTGAGCTCCAGCAGAGTGCTCAGCCCCTCAAAGCCTCCTGCTCTTTATTTCATGGCAAGAGTGCCTCAGAACAGTGCCTCAGTGCCCACTAACAGAAGTGGGCTGTCTGTCTCAGCAACATGGAACTGGTTCAGGAAGCCCCCGCCAGCCACTAGTGTACCTGCAGGTCACCCGATCAGTCAGATTGCAGAGGGGACTGCCGAACTGCAAAACTTCCAAACTGTTCCTGATGACCTGCTCATCAGCACGTACCCAAAGTCTGGTAAGCCAGTAGAGTGCCATAACCAGGCCTGCAGCTTCCAGCTCGGCAGGTAGAGCCAAGCCCTCAGCCTTCTTACCTTCCACATCCTCCTTTGCAGGCACCGCCTGGGTCAGGGAGATGCTTGACATGATCTATCAGGATGTTAATCTAAAGAAATGTCACTGGGCTCCCATCTATATCCCGGTGTCCTTCCTAGAGTTCAAAAGTCCTGGTGTCCCCTCAGGTATGTGAGGGAATGCTGTGGGATGGTCTGTATGTCAAATTGCTCTGATTGGTCAATAAATAAAACACTGATTGGCCAGTGGCCAGGCAGGAAGTATAGGCGGGACTAACAGAGAGGAGAACAGAGAAAACAGGAAGGCGGAGGGAGTCACTGCCAGCCGCCGCCATGACAAGCAGCATGTGAAGATGCCCGTAAGCCATGAGCCACGTGCCACGTGGCAAGGTACAGATTTATGGAAATGGATTAATTTAAGCTATAAGAACAGTTAGCAAGAAGCCTGCCACAGCCATACAGTTTGTAAGCAATATAAGTCTCTGTGTTTACTTGGTTGGGTCTGAGTGGCTGTGGGACTGGCAGGTGACAGAGATTTGTCCTGACTGTGGGCCAGGCAGGAAAACTCTAGCTACAAGGGAACCCTGGAGAAATGACATCGAGGCAAAGAGGATCAGGGTTCTGATCACCATCACTTCCCTACACATGCTTAGGTCTTGAAGCTCTGGAAAACATGCCAGTCCCGCGGCTCCTCAAGACGCACTTGCCTGTGTCTCTGGTCCCCTAGAGCTTGCTGGGTCAGAAGGACAAGGTGAGAAATCAGGACAGCACTAGACAGTCCTGGAAAGACCACTGTTCCTGTGCTGCTGTCTCAGCTGTCTCATTAACGAGAGGCCATCTGCCTATCAGTGATGTGGGATGCAGATGCAGAGCTAAGAGAAGTCACAGAACATGGGGGAGAGCTGGCAAGACCCATGCCTGCCTTGTCCCAGTACAGGTGTATGGCCCCTCAGGGGACCAACCTGACTTTAGGCCCTTGTATTGGTTTGTTTACCCTTGCTGTGAGTAAAATGGAACTCAAGGTCTGTTCTGACTCATGGCTTCAGGACATAGCGTATCTTTTTCCTGGGTTGTGGTAAGGCAGGATATCCTGATGGAAGCGCACGGGCTGGGAGCAGTAAGGAATACAACACCATTGGTGCTGTTCAGTTCTCCAGCCGAGCCCCACCTCCTCGTATACACCGCCTCCCAGGAATGCCATCCAAACATAAACCATGAGTGGATCCATCTCTACATATTAGGCCAGTCCTCACTAGCTAGTCACTGCACAGTGGTGCCGCCCAGCTAGAGAGAAGCCTTCAACAAGAGTGCTTTGGGGGATGCTCCAACCCATGCCAGGAACAAGCACGGTATAAATCCCAGTTCCGTGGTACCCAGATCACAAGGTTGAAAGAGTCCAGGCTGTTCCTCCTTTGCCGCTTCAGGAGACACTTCCCCCACTGGGTGCTGTGAAGGGGGACAAGAATACAGGATGGCCCAGGCATGGTGTCACATGCCTTTAATCTCAGCACTGCGGAAGCAGATAGGTCTTCATGAGTTTGAGGCTAACCTGGTCTATATAGTAAATTCCAGGCCAGCATTGGTTACATAGAAAGACTCTACCTCCCACTCCCAAACAAAACTACAGGCAGACATGTTGGGACATGCGTTTAATCCCAGCATTAGGAAATCAGAGACAGGTGGAACTCTGAGTTCAAGCCCAGCTTGTTCTACATAGTGAATTCCAGGATAGCCAGCACTACATAGAGAGACCCTCTCCCTCCCCAAACAAAACAATAAAGCAAAAAAAAAAAAAAAATCCAATTCCTACTCCAGGGGTAGGCGGGATGTGTGAAGATTGCTACTGAGGGTGGGGTCATCTGCCCCTGCAGGTGATCTACATTGCTCGAAATTCAAAGGATGTGGCTGTCTCCTATTATAACTTCTACAACATGGCCAAAGTGCACCCTGATTCAGGCACCTGGGAGAGCTTCCTGGAGAACTTCATGGACGGGAAAGGTGAATCTGAGTCTGTAGCCAGGAGGGGGCTGGACCCAGGGGCAGAGCTGGAGCTAACAGGGCCTGTGTCTGTGCTGTCTTGTCCCCAGTGTCCTATGGGTTGTGGTTCCAGCATGTGAAGGAGTGGTGGGGGCTGACACACACTCACCCTGTTCTCTATCTCTTCTATGAAGACATGAAGGAGGTGAGGCTGCCTGCTACCACTTCCTTCTGGGTCCCACAGGCAGGAACCTCAGGAACCTGGCCCTGTCCTGGCCCTGAGCCCCATCCCTATCCCAGCCCCACCCCAGACAGCACCTCCCATCTTACCTCCTGGCTCAGGACCTCAGCACAGCTCAGCACAGAGCATGCTCAGCCCTTATCTTGGAGGAGGTGTCAGTCATGTGCCAGGATTGACCTGGTGGCTTGCTGCTCTTGCTTCTCCCTGCTCCAGAGGTGCCAAGTCTGGGCACCAGAGATCAAAGTCTGTCCCTGTCCTCTCCAGAATGAACGCAGAGATCATGCCAAGATGGCAGGGTAGGAAGCTACCTATTTTGCCCCAGGGAAAGAGGCTCAGACTTAAGACACTGAGAGTCAAGAGGTCCTTAGTGAAAAGGCAAAGATAGCTTCCTGTCACATCACAGAGGTGCCTCCCCTTGTCCCAATGAGCATCATCAACCTCCACTGAAGCATCCTTCTGTGCTCCAGGACCCCAAAAGGGAGATCAAGAAGATTCTGGAGTTTTGGGGGCACTCCCTGCCTGAGGAGACCGTGGATCTCATTGTTCACCACACATCCTTCAAGAAGATGAAGGAGAACCCCATGGCCAACTACACCACCCTCTCTTCTCACCACATGGACCACTCTGTCTCCCCCTTCATGAGGAAAGGTGGGTCTCAGGAAGGATGGGTATTGAGGGAGAGCTGGAAAGCTACCAAAGCCACCTGAGCCACCTCTGTGATTGTCACTCCGTCTTTCTTCTGTCCCTCCCAGGCATTGCTGGGGACTGGAAAAACACCTTCACTGTGGCCCAGAATGAGCGCTTTGATGTTCAGTATGCTGAGAAGATGGCAGGTTGTGACCTCATCTTTCGCTGGCAGGTCTGAGTGACAATATGACTAATCACCCCAGAGAACTGTCGACACCACCATAACACCTCCTTGGGGATAAATGAGCATGGCTTCAACCTACCCCTCCATTACAAGTCAAGGGGAGGACCTAAGCTGCAAGACTGAAGACCAACCAAGACAAACCTTGAGTTTCAAAAGGACTGGGAGTTAGTTCAATGTCATCCTGCTTGGCTGGCCTCTCAGGTCCTGGTTAGGGAACACCAAAAAGGAAAAAAGGTGTTTGGGTTTTTTGTTTGTTTGTTTGTTTGTTTGTTTTTTAATGCCACAGGCATAGGATTGAGAATTTAAGGACAGCCTAAATGCTCTAAAACACAAAAGGTGAGGTGTGGTGGCAGCACATGCCTTTAATTCCAGCACAGAGAGGCAGAGGCAGGGAGACCTCTGTCTGAGAAAACGTAAGGAGTTCCAGGCCAGCCAGAGCCCCACAGTGGTACCTGATTAAAAACAAGTGCACACTTGTAACCCGGCACTTTGAGATAGAGACAGGAGAACCATATAGATGCTCAGGGTCATTCTGCTCCACCACAGAGCAAATTCCAGGCCAGCCTTGGCTCCTCACAGCCTGTATCAAAGTGAGGGAAAAGAGGAGGCGTAGTGCTGCCAGGACGTGGGCTCCACAGCAGTCAGGTCCAGCTGGGGCCACAGGGCAGGGCTGTTTCCACAGCACTGGAAAGAATACAAAAACAAAGAACTGGTGCCAGAACAGCTGGGCCTCTTCCCATCGCACATCCTGCCGTGTGGGTGGGGTGGGGGGTGGTGTAAGCTTGATGGGGGCTGTGGTGCAGTATTTAAACTTGATCAAAATAAAACCCTAGTTGTCTTTTCCCAAGAGGACACCACTGGCTGATATAGGCCTGCCAGTCAGCTTTCCCTTTTCTGGGCTCCATGTGGTTGTGGGTCCCTAGGATGGGTGAAGGAGGACCTAATATCCATTTGTGCCTTTGTTGGCTTTCCACCCTTAGCAACAGGTAGTAAGCATCCATTGCTTTATGAGTCTCTCCCCCAGCAGAGATTCTCTCTGTCTGAAACCCAGCCCATCTCCTCTGTATGTGATGGGTCTCTCTGTACCTGTCATACCACAGGGAGAGGAGGTTGGGGTGCCCATTCTTACTCCAGCCAAATAACAACCAGAGACAGAGACCCAATCCCTGCCACAGAAGGGGCTCATAGAAGCTTTTCAGGAGTTCTCAACTTCCTAATGCTGTGACCCTTTACTACAGTTCCTCATGTTGTGGTGACCCTCAACCATGAAATTATTTTGTTGCTATTTCACAACTGTAATTTTGTGACTGTTATGAATCAGAAGGTAAGTATCTGATATGCATGATATCTGATATGTGACCCCCCGTGTAAGGGTCATACTACCCCCTTACAGAGTCATGACACACAGGTCGAGAACTGCTGCTTTAGACAAATATGAAAAATGGAGGGAGAGCCAGGTGGTGGTGGCACACAGTTTTAATCTCAGCACTCGGGAGGCAGAGGCAGGTGGATCTCTGAGCCAGCCTGGTCTACAGAGTCAGTTCTAGTAACTGCTTGGGCTGTTACACAGAGAAACCCTGTCTCAAAAAAGACAAACAAACAAAATTGTGATTTGAAAAAAAATCAAAAAGGAGGGAAAGGAATCACCAGATAGTAAACTCTAAATCCAAATAAATCCCAGGCCCCACAGGCTGGAGAGTCGGCTTAGCAATTAAGAGCACTTGCTGCTCTAGTACAGGACCTGATTTCTGTTCAGTATCCATACTGGGCACCTCACACCAGCCTGTGACACTAGCTCCAGGGAACAGATACCTCTGGCCATCACAGCCACCTGCACTCACAGACATATATATCACCGAACACACACACATAATTAAAAATAATAAAAATCTTAGCAGGGTTAAGAGCACTGGCTGCTCTTCCAGAGGTCCTGATTTCAATTCCCAGCAACCACATAATGACTCATAATCATCTATAATGAGATCTGATGCCCTCTTCTGTCATGCAGGCATACATGCAAATAGAACACTCAAATACATAAGTAAATAAAACTCTTGAAAATAATAAAATAGTAGTAAAAATACAATTCTTTAAAAGAAAGGGCTACTGCCAGCTGGTGGTGGCACACGCCTTTAATCCCAGTCCTCGGGAGGCAGAGCCAGGTGGATCTCTGTGAGTTCGAGGTCAACCTGTTCTAAAGGGCGAGATCCAAGACAGGCACCAAAAAAAAAAAAAAAAAAGAAAGAAAAAAAAAGGGCTAGAAAGATGATTCGGTGGTCAAGAGCACTTGCTGCTCTTCTATGGGACTTCAGGTCAGTTCCTAGCACTCACATCAGGTGGCTCACAACTGTCTGTGAGTCCAGCTCCAGGGTTCAGATGCACACAGTCTCCACAAATTCCTGCACTTATGTGTAATGCCCATATGCACACATTTACACCTACACATAATTTAAAATAATAAAAATAATTATTTAGCCGGGCGGTGGTGGCGCACGCCTTTAATCCCAGCACTCGGGAGGCAGAGCCAGGCGGATCTCTGTGAGTTCGAGGCCAGCCTGGACTACCAAGTGAGTCCCAGGAAAGGTGCAAAGCTACACAGAGAAACCCTGTCTCGAAAAACCAAAAAAAAAAAAAAAAAAAAAAAAAAAAATTATTTAAATAAAAGGGAAAGTAGCTGTTGGTCGTGTTGCATGCCTTTAATCTCAGCACTAGGGAGGCCGAGGCAGGAGGCAGCAGACAAGAGGGTCATCCATCTTCAACCTACAGGCTTAGCATATCTGACAAACTTTTCTGTGAAGCAGGGTATTTGAAGGACCTTCCTACCTTGTCTTGGCAAGGCTTGGCAGTCTTTTCTTTTGTGTCCTACTCGTCCAGTTTGGACAGCATCCTGTCAGCAGTCAGGACAAGGGCATTTTCTTGCTCAGTGGCTAACTTTTGCCACAGTGGAAGTAAACTCCATAAAGAGTTTCTTCAATGCCCATCATCTTCTCTGAAGTAGATTGGTGCTGCTAGGAGCAGACATGTCTCATTGTCATTTAAAAAAAAATCTATGTTATTAAAACATCTTAAATGCCATATTCTGTAGATCTCTGAAGTGTTTGAAGATGACCTGTCTATCAAAAATATATCTGTTTAACCTTGAAAACATACCTAACTGGACTACAAATTTAATTGTAATGACTAACTACTAACTTGAATTTCTTTATATCCTAATTAGCTTTCAAGGACTGTCAATTTGCATTACATTGTTAAATGAACTGTGTAGGCACAATACCTTGAACAAGAGTAGAAATAGATGTACAATATATTCTAACAAAATTAATCTCAAATATGTGTCAACATGCAAAATTTGTATACAATATACAAAAATCCAATCCAATGTAAAATATTTAAAACTAGTAGTTGCTTTTTAAAAGTAGATTCAATAATCTACAGTTTTATCATATCCATATTCTCCCTTTTTTCTTTTCAGAGTAGATTCAATAATCTACTTTTTTATCCTAACATTTCTATATATTTTTTTCAGAGTAGATTTAACAATCTACCTTTTATCTTATTGTATCTATATCATCTTTTTTTCTTTTCCTTTTTTTCAAACAAGAACCCTGAATCTAATCTCCTTTGCTTAGCTTTTTTCCTGACCATTACCAATAACAACTTCAATCAACCACCAAAACAATGACAAATATCCATAACTCATCGAACAACCAACAACCACCCACCCCGCCTCTCGGGAATGTGTGGGTCCTGTTCTTCAATTTACTTCCTGCCATCTGTGGGCGAAGGCATCTTTAGGGGATCCTGAAAAGAAAAATTTGGGGCTAATTGTCAAATCATGGAAGAAGTAGCTGTATCATTTGTTGTCCAGTCTCTGTGTAAGGGGAAAGTGCTGGGCTAGTCCTGGCTAGTGTAGTCTGTGAGGCTAGATTATGTTAGCTAGCCATCTTAAAATTGTCCTGAGCAGTTTGTAGTTCAAAGCCGATCCTTAGGTAGTGTTTGTCAGGTTAATGGTGTTATCATCGTCCTGATGGAATCATCGTTGTAGGATCCCGTCATCTTTTTGGAGACTTCAGAGATAGCATTAGGTCAGATTATTCCTTTTCTTAGTGATTTTTTTGGGATAGTTCTCCCTTCTTCTTTGGATGCTTATTTGTCCAAATGTCTTTAAATTATTTAATATGGTTGTTTTTAGTTTCCTGAAAAGACAAAAACAAAATCCTACCCCAACTCTAACTTTGGGGAGTTTCTAAATTTAATCTTTATCAATTTTGATTTATGGTTTCTCCTGATTTTCTGTTCTCTCTTCTGTAGCTGTTCTATCATACAGAGCAGTGTGGTTTTTTACAATAGACATTAGGTTCTTTCATTGCTCTGGGAAGGAGTTTCTTTCATGATGGCAGGAAAGGACTGAACTGAAGTTACCATAGGGGCCTGGGAGAGGCCCCTCGGGGTGTTTCATCACAGCAAAAGGTAAGGGATTACTTGTCTGTCCCTTGTTGATCTCCATTCATTAGTCCAGTGTCTGCCTTTACCACACCTTCTGCATAATCCAGAAGGGAGGGGCATTCTGTTAGAATTATTCCTTGAAAAAATATTATTTTTAGGAATGCCTTGCTTACAGTCCTTTTCCAGGTGGCTTTGTTTACTGCCATTGAAACCTTTGAAATTAGTATTTTTCTCCAAACCTCTTGAAATCACCTCTCCTATCCAAGCATCATCATGGTCATGAGATTCAATATTGATTGAATTGAATCCATTCCTCCAAGGGTACTGGTCTTGCTTTTAATTGCGTAACTATCCTTTTGCATTGTGCATTAGCATTTTCAAAAGCCAGAGATTCAATTATTACTTGTCTAGCTTCTGAATTTGGTATCATTCTATTTACTGCTTATGAACATGAATAGTCCTGTCTCCACCTGGCCATTTCCCTCCCTTTGCTAGACTGTGCCAATTGTCTGTTGAGCTACCCTTAAGTTTAGGTGAGTGAGGAAGGAGCCAGAAACTGGGCAAAAATAAAACTACCTTCCTTTTGACATCCTGGTTTGTTTTTGTTTTTGTTTTTTTCTTGTGAATGGTCCAGGAATATAGGAATATAGGTATATAGGAATAAGACAGGAATATAGGAATAAGACAGGAATATAGGAATATAGGTATATAGGAATAAGACAGGAATATAGGAATAAGACAGGAATATAGGAATATAGGTATATAGGAATAAGACAGGAATATAGGAATATAGGTATATAGGAATAAGACAGGAATATAGGAATATAGGTATATAGGAATAAGACAGGAATATAGGAATATAGGTATATAGGAATAAGACAGGAATATAGGAATATAGGTATATAGGAATAAGACAGGAATATAGGAATAAGATAGGAATATAGGTATATAGGAATAAGACAGGAATATAGGAATAAGACAGGAATATAGGAATAAGAAGTTATAAGCAAAAGAAATGGAAGCTGACAGCCATCAGCTCTGACAGCAAATAGAGATTAACCTTTAACTAGGCCTTTTTTTGTTTTATGATGGGCATCGCTGTCAGCAACCCAAATGTTATTTTTTCCCTGCAGCCCTGGGATTAGCTATTCTCGATGACCTCTGCCACTCACAACCAAAACCAAAGTTAACTTTAACGAGGTCTTCCTGACAACCTGCCTTGCACTGTTTCGTATTCTCCCTGCCATGGGAGGCCAGCTGTGTCAGGAAAAGCTGCAGGTTTTGGGCAAACATCAGTTAGCCATGTTGGGAAAGATTTCAGGAATATACACATATCAATGAGTTGAAACCCTCTAAAACCTTGTTATTGGAAAACTGTTAATCCTAAAAAGCAATTTATCTCTAAAAGTTTAACTTCGAAATTGTAAAAATTCTTTTGCCCATGCCTAATGTCTGCCCCTTACTATAAAAAGGGGCTCCCTTACTATAAAAGGGGCTCATAACGCCCCCTACAGTTGCTACAGTTACAGAATCCCGAACTCTGGCTGTGGTCTCAACTAGCTGACAAGCTTTTTGTGCCCCATGGTGATTTTTTTGGAATAAAGTTTTCCTTCTGGTTTTCGACTGTGGTTTACACACCATTATTTTGCATGTTCACTTGGACCCAACACTTGTTTTCTACAGGCTAAACCCACAGTCCATAGTGTGGGTCACAGAGTTCTGCCCCATCTCCACCCCCCTTGTTTTTTGAGAACAGCCAGTCTTAGTACTCTTTCCACAACCTCCCACTTGGGATGTACCAATTTTCCAGCTCAAAGATCAATTCTGCATTACCCATATTGCAACACCCACACAAAGATTCCCACCACTGTGCACCGGGGAGGAGAGGCTCAGAAACTCAGAATCAGGTGAGTGGCAGAGTGGGGTGGCCACCGTTGCCCTTCCCAGCTACAGGTTCCAGTATTCTTCCAGGGCCAGCTACTTCCTACACCTTGATTAGTCTATGTGACCCCTGCCTGGGCCTCTAGCCTCTCTGTTCTTTCCCCACACATACTCCACCTCAGAAGAGCTTGTCTGAGATCCCCCTCCCCTGCTCTTTCTTGGCTGGTTTTAGAATCCCTTTTAGTAGAAAATCTCTCCCTGGCTTGCAACACGCTTAGGAACCAAACTGGTTATGCTCGTCTCAGAGCAAGAAAGATATCAGGTCTGGACGGTGTGGGGCATTTCTGAAGGTAACAGAAGCTCAAGGAGGAAAAGGGAGGAGAGACCACCCATGCGCCAGGGGCCGACCTTCCAGCTGCACAGGGCCAGTGCTCAGTTTCCTGAAACATGCTGGAATCTTCCCACAAAATGTCAAACCCTGTATTGATTCTACCTCAGAGTGCTTTAATGTCTGGACTATGCTTGGGCACCAGGGACATGCAAAGTTCTGCAGGAGAGCAGTGATGTAGCCACAGTAGTGACCTTTGCTGGAGTTAGACTTGCCTCTGATCCCAGGTCTACCTGCCACCTCAGTGAGCTGTCAGAGCCTCAGGATCCCAATCTTTTTTTTTTTTTTTTTTTAACAATTTATCTTTATTTTATGTGCATTGGTGTATGCATGTATGTCTGCGTGAGGGTGTCAGATCTTAGAGTTACAGACACTTGTTAGCTGCCATGTGGGTGCTGGGAATTGAACCTGGGTCCTCTGGTAGAGCAGCTGGTGCTCTTAACCACTGAGCCATCACTCCAGCCCCTCAGGATCCCAATCTTAAAGCAAGAATTCAGCACAGTATTGTGAACTTGTCCAAAAAGTGAGTCTTACATTCTGTTCTCAATGCAGCAACATGGAGTTGATGGAGGATTTCTCCCGTCCACCACTGGTGCCGGTGAAGGGCATCCCACTCATCAAATACTTTGCAGAGGCTATTGGGCCATTGCAGAACTTGACCGTCTGGCCCGATGACTTGCTTATCACCACATACCCAAAGTCTGGTGAGCAGGGTGTTATCAAATGGTGCTTGAGAGGCCTTTGTGGGTTGGCCAAGGTGCACTGGTGGGTGAGAGAGACAGCTATGCAGACACAGCTGCTGTCTGCAGCATGGAGCGGTGGAAAGTTAATCACACCATGCAGATACATGTCCATGTGGAAGCTTATTACTAAAGGGAGAGAGGAGGCGGGGGGGGGGGGGGGGGGGGGGGGGAGGTGCATGCTACCTTTGGTGGCGGGGAGAGAGAGTGAAGGGGGAGGAGTTTTTTCTTAAAGGGGTCTTTACATAAGATGATGTCAGGAGGCTGGGCCAGTTCCCAAGGGGTGGGTCCCCAAGAGGCGGTTCCGAATACTAACATTTCTCCATTTTTGATTACTATAAAAAGGTGAGCAAGTTGGAGGAGGGGAAATGAGGGCACCAAATTCTCAAGACTGCTTCCTGCTCACAAGGGGTGAAGTGGGAGGAAGTTAGGAGTCAGGGTCACATGTGGCAGGAGGTATGAGTGAAGAAGTATTAGTTAGCTGTCATCCTGGAGACTCCTTGAGGGAGCTGAGTAGGCAGGTTGCTAGGGGAAAAAATAGATTGTTATCATTGGCCCCATGAGCAGGGCTAGCCATGGAAAAGTGCTAACTGCCAGAAAGAATGGAATGGAAGAGTGTCCTGGTTGTACAGAAGAGGCAAGGGTGAATGAGCGAGGCAGGAGAGCACATATGCCCTTCATTGGGACATCTTGGAAAACCAGGTTCCAGTTGCTGGGTAGGTGCTGGCTTGAGCCTGGAGCGGTCTTACCAGCAGTGAAGTCCCAGGAGCTTGGCAAGATGGCACACCAAATTGAGGGATGATGTGTTCTAGGAGTACAGGAGCCATCACGTCTGCTGTTTCTCTGGAGGTGGGAAATGTCCCCATCCTGGAAAAATGTCAACAAGTTAGGAGATAATGGAGTTTTTGTAAGTCAGCATGTGGGTGAAGCCAACCTGCTGGATTTCCTGATTGGTTGTTCCTGATTGGTGGTGCAGTGGCTGGGGTGCATCTGGAGGTGGTGCAGTGGCTGGGGTGCATCATCTGGAGGGTCTCTGAGGATCTGGCCTTGGCACGAGTCTGGCAGGAGGGGTGGATCTGTGCAGGAACCTGCAAATGTCTATAAAATACTGGAATAGATTTATATCTTGGTGTCATAGCAAAGTGATGGCTTTGGGCTAGAAGGCAGGAACATTTACCCAATTGGGCCTGGTTTCAGCCCAATGAAACACATCTTTAAATCCATAACCAGAGGAAATTTACTGAATGGAAGTGGTTGAGTGAGTGAAGAAGGAGGAGGGAGGCTTCCCTACTCTCTCCAATGCTAGCCTGTCTCTAAAAGCTGGAACCAGTAAAGCCCACAGAAACCTTGGAGGTGAGGGGGGAGCTGTTAAAACTGGCAACATCATCAGGTTGAGGAAGATAAGTGAACAGAAGTGAGACAGTTTTCCTATCTTCATATCAACAAACTTAAAGCACTTTTTTAAAAATCTAATTCACTAAGAGATACTGAGAGAAGTCATTGAAAAATGAGTTAATCTCTTCTTTAGTCTGGTAGCAAGGTGAACAGTGTGAACTGTGTCTAGATTTACTATTATCTCTAAGAGAATGAGGCCTGTGACTTTTACATAGAGAACTGGGAAGGCAGCTGAAGCAAAGCCTGGTGGTCAAATGGCATCTGAGAGCTGAGAAGGATAAATCATACCTGAGTGCAGACCAAGAAGCTTCTGAATCTATTAAAAATGACAGGGACAGTCCATTTTCAGTTAGTCATACCCAGGTCTCCATATCATTGGAGGCAGAAGTGTCAGAACAGCATCAATCTTCAGCCTCCAGATCCATAAGGTGGGAGTTTTTCATGAAAGAGGGACATAGGGAAGACGGATCTTACTTTATCTAGGCAAAAGGGGTGCAATAATTCTCCAAAGTTCTGCTGCTTGTTCAAAGTCTGGGCTAGGTCCTGGCAGCAGGTGTCACATTGGGACATCTTGCCCAGAGGTCAGTGTTGCCATCATCCAGGTGGAGACATCGTGGTGCCTCATAATCTTCTTCAGAGACCTTGTGTCACTGCTAGGATCTGGGAGTCTGTCTGATATAATAAACTTTTTGATTAACATTTTAAATGCCATATTCTGCAGATCTCTGAGCATTTGAGGACTGCCTGTCAATCAGGTATGAAGGACAGATTATCAACTTGTGGTTCCCTAACAGTCTTCAATATGTCAGCAGCTTTCATAAGACTGGGACTTACTGTCTCCTGAGAAGGCAAAGAAGAGTGACAGGGGAAAGATCCCAGAGTCAAATGAGAACAGGAGAAAGGGGCTTGAGAGGTGGGATGTGGCCCAACTCTGGGAAAAAGGCCCTCTCAGGCGACCAGTTACTCCATTACAGAATGAATATATATATATATATATATACATACACACACACAAATACCTTATTTATCAAACATATGCCATTATTTATGTCAATTCTCTAGAAGCTTGATATTGAATACTTGGCAAAGACATTGATATAAATCTCTAAGTTAGCTATTGTTAATCTGAACAGATAAATTTCATATCAATCTAAGTTTTTTGAGGTTTGCTGTTTTCTTACTCTAGAAGGAGATAAAATGAACAGAGAGCTCATTAGGACTAAATGTATTTTTTTTAACCTTAGTAAACCTCAGTAAAAGATGACTGCCAGCCATGTGGCTGTCTACATCATGATGAGATCCGGGGAACAAAATTAAATGTTATTTAGACTTAATTTTGAGAGCATATGTAAATTAAACCTGGACATATAGTTTTCCCAATTAGTTACAGGTTAACAAAATTAGCAAGGATAAGGAGGCTTACATGCTTAAGCCTGAATAGACCTTGAGTAGGGAGAGACATTTTTAAGCCATTGGCAGTGATATCTGCATCTATTACCATTTTAAGGCCCTGTAGTTCTGATCTGATCTTTGAGTACAGTCAGATCATAATCCTGAATGATTTATACAGAAATAATAATTTCTTAAGCTTATATAATACCTCTTTGGTTCTGCATAAAGAAAGTCAAGTGTCTTATTGCAGAACCATTTTAGTTAAAAAAATCTATCAATTGACAATATTGGATCCAGTTTCCTGGTATATCAATGGGCATTAGGTAACCATTTTGTCCCCTATGCCAGGGTGTTAACATTTAACTTAGCCTTTTAGCCTGTTTTGGGAGCAGGGAGCATAGGATGACATATTTTCTTCCATAACTGCTTCAAGCCAAAAGGGGTGCAGATGGTCAGAGCCCAGTGAGGCTGAAAGGCTCAAGCTATACTGTACTGTTGTACTTATCTGGAGTCATTTTGACCTCTGTGAAGTGGATCCAATGGCTTCTTTTGATCCTCTGAGGCTTATATGAATTTTTATTTAATGAAAGGACATAAAACCTTTAGATATATTAGTATTACCAAACAGTATTGAAATCCATATCGTGAAAAAACAGGCAATGAGTATCTGCAAAACAGCAGTAGACTCATACCCTTGAGTCCTAGCAGAATTACAGATTTGTGTTAAAAGCATGTACATTTTTTTAGAGAGAGCCAAGTACTGTAGATTAATTACTAAATGGTCTTATTATATAAAAAACCAGAGCCAGATATCAGGGTTGAAACCTGAAAGATCAGAGGAATAGGAAAAGCCACAGCTAACCTCACCTCACCAACTCTGCAGCTTCCAAAGAGACTTACTTCCTGTATACCCACGCCTATATGCCTTTCTGTTCCGATATATCATTTGCTCTCTCTGTCCAGCTACATCACTTCCTCTTCCTGTCCAGCTCTGTCACTTTCTGTCTGTCTGTAAAGACCTCCAGAACTCTATGGTTAGTACTGGAATTAAAGGCATGTGTCAAAACGCTTGGCTCTGTTCCCAGTGTGGCTTTGAACTCACAGAGATCCAGACAGATCCCTGCCTCCAGAATGATAGGATTAAAGGTGTGTGCTACCATTGCCTGACTTCTGTGTTTACTATAGTGGCTGACTTTTTCCTCTGATCCTCAGATAAATTTTATTGGGGGGACACAGAATATTGGGGGACACAATACATCACCACAAGGTGCACAGTGGATGGAACTGTCTCTTACTTGATGGTTTAAGTCTATATTTAGAAGACAACCAAAGAAAATCTAAAATCTTGAGCTTATAACCCAAATAGTATCAGAATTCTATTAACATCAAAATCTGAAATTTTGCCGGGCGGTGGTGGCGCACGCCTTTAATCCCAGCACTCGGGAGGCAGAGGCAGGCGGATATTTGTGAGTTCGAGGCCAGCCTGGTCTACAGAGAGAGATCCAGGAAAGGCGCAAAGCTACACAGAGAAACCCTGTCTCAAAAAACCAAAAAAAAAAAATCTGAAATTTTAAAATCTTAATATAACAATATCATAGGAGAAAGTAATCTGAAGCATTTAAATAATTTATGTCAAGAGACCTAGCAGCTTTAGGAATAGTAAAACTTGATTTTTTTATCTATAAAATGAGGTGACAAGTGGGCTATATCATCATCATGTGGTGCCACTGATGTCCTAGAGCCCGGGAAAGAGGAAGAGGATAGATCTCCAGGCCCTGCCCACAAGAGTGCTCAAGTGGCCACAGAGGAGCACCAGACTGATACAGGAAGCTTGAGTCCTTGGCCCCTGTAAAATAATGCTTGGCTTGAGATGGAGCTTTCCTATTCTTCCCCCCTCCTCGAACAGATGGCCTGAGCACCTGGCACCCAGCCCATGCTTGACCCATGGACAGGAAGTCACATTTTGCTGCCCTTAGTAAAGATGGCTCCTGACCACATGAATGCCCTTATCAAATATGGCAACACAGCCATAAGACCTGTTTGTCTTTGACCTTAGTCAGGATGGTGCCTGCCTGACCATTTAATTGCCCTCTGGCACCTGACCATGTGTTCACAAGGGTTTTTTTTTTTTCTTTCAAGACATATGAAACATATATGGAACACATAAACTCAAAGCATTCAAAAGTCAGTCAGAAACACATTCATGTGGCCACATCAATCACACATTTCCATCTGTACGTATGAAATAAACTTTTTCAACAGAATGACAGACAAAACTTCCCAGGAAACTATCAGCTGACCAACTTAAAAAGTCAGAGATAACAATTACAGGACTTCAGGCATAGACTGAGAGACGGCATGGTGGGAGAAAGCCAGGAAGTAGCAGAAGAAAAGGGAGGCATCCTGGGTCTCCCGAGCCTCAGTAGCAGCAGCAGCAGCAGAGGGAAGGTGGGCTGTGGGGGGTGGGGTGGGGCTCGAGGTGGTGGCAGCAGGGAGGACGGAGAAGAGTGGGAAACGGAGCAGACAGAGACAGGACAGTCCGAGACAGTTTGAGCAGAAACTGAGGGAGCGGGTGGTGAGGAAGGAGCCAAGGGATAGGAGAGCGAGCAGTGTAGGTGTAGAAAAAACCTGGAGCCGGACACTGGGAGGAAAGCTGAAAGATCAGAGAGACAGATCAAGCCAGCCCCATTCTTACCTCTTTGAAATCCTCAGCCTCAAGAGAGTGAGTTCCTCTTCCTTCAGGCCTTATGTACCTTTCTGTGTCCTGCCATATTACTTTCTGGGATTAAAGGCATGTGCCACCACATCTGGCTCTGTTCTCAGTGTGGCTTTGAACTCACAGATATCCAGACAGATCTCTGCCTCCCAAGTGATAGGATTAAAGGCTTGTGCCACCACAGCCTGACTTCTATGTCTAATTTAGTGGTTGGCTTTGTCTTCTCATCCCTAGGAAAGCTTTATTGGGTACACAATGCTTCATCACAGACAGGGATCCCTGGCAGCAGTTATAAAGATAGAAGTTTGGTAGGAGGCTCATTTTCCATAAGTAAGATAGAAGAAGATCCAGCTGGTTGAGCTTCCAGCATCCCAGAGGCTCAGAAAGGATGGATGACAGAGTGGGGTGGTCAGTGGATCATAATCCAAAGATTTAGGGGCAGTGGAGCAACTGGCACAAGCTGTCCCATATGTGGTCGGATAGGAACAGGGGCTGGAGGGCTGAAAGACCAAGATGTGTGGTGCCCGGTACAGGGTCTTTTGGACAAGGCCAAAAGGCAAGAAACCCATGGTTGAGAATGATACAAATCCTCACTTGTGGAAAATGGCCAGAAGGTGTAGGGAGCTTACTGATTATGGAGTGAGTGTTGAAGTTTCTATAGATTCTAGTGTCTCAGAGTGCCGGCAGGCAGGAGAAAGAGCCAGGAAGGCCTCTGCTGAGTTACACAGCACCAATGTTATGAAATGACATGTGGGAGGCCTTGGTGGTTTGGGCCTAGGTGTCCCAGTGGGTGAGAGAGACACACCATGCAGACACTGCGGAGGGCTGAGGCTGTGGTTACAGCATGGAGAGGTGAAAAGTTACACCACGCAGGCAAATGTCCATGTGGAAAGTTTATTATTAAAGGGAACAAGGGCGGGGGGAAGGAAGGAGGTGAGCACTACCTTTGGCAAAAGGGAGGATAGAGAGAGAGAGAAGAGGGAGGAGTTTCTTCTTAAAGGAGACTTTAGTAAGATGATGGCAGGATACTGGGCAAGTCTCTCAGGGGTGGGTCCCCAAGGGGGAGGCTCAGAACACTAACACTGGGTTTCTCTAATGTCCTGTAGACTTCACTTTGGCAAGTAGGTCCAGACTCTGGGCCCTCCTCACCCCTTGTTCCCTTCTTTGCAGGTACTACCTGGATGAGTGAGATCCTGGACATGATCTACCAGGACGGCAAGCTAGAAAAGTGTCGCCGGGCCCCCATCTATGCCCGGGTGCCCTTCCTTGAGTTCAGATGCCCAGGAGTTCCCTCAGGTAAGAGCACTAGGGAGCTAGACACAAGTGGAGAGAGGAAGGACCTCTTAACAAAGTTCTCTGCTCAACTGTAGGTCTTGAATCTTTGGAAGAGACACCAGCCCCCCGGCTCCTTAAGACGCATCTGCCCCTGTCCTTGCTTCCTCAGAGTCTGCTGGATCAGAAGATCAAGGTAAAAACAAAAACAAGAAACCCCAGTTATGGTGGTACCTTCCAGCATTTGGGAAGTAGAGGCAGAAGGATCACAGTAAGTTCAAGACCAGTCTGAAGCTGTATCTCACCCTGTTTCAGGAAGACAGAGAAAAAGAAAGGAAAGGAGAGAGGAAGGGAAAGAGGGGGAGACAGGGAGGGAAGGGGGGCTGAGGGGAGAGGATTCAAGGGCTCCTGGGATCATCTGAGCTTTGATCTGTTCTGCTGGGAATTGTGGGACTACTGAAGTCCTGTTTCATCTTGTATGGAGGATCTCTGGCTGTCACTCTGGCAGGGCTAGGATAACAAGGAAAATGGAATTCTTCAGTGTAAGCTAGAGAAGCAGAGTCCAGGTGCTCACAGGACAGAGATTGGGAGGGACTGGTGGAACTCTGACCTACCATGTGGATGTGTTGACAATAAAGGAGTCAGATAAAATATAATTCATGGAATAGCCAGGACTTTGGCATCAAAGATGTAATCTTAGGTCAGTGGTACCCATACCATGAAATCTCAACAAGTCAACTTCTAGTCCTGTGTTCTCTTCTGCCATCTCCAAAGAAGTGCGGAGAGTCCCCAGTGTTAGAAAGTATGGTACCTCACTAGGTCCTGTGAAGGGTAACAGGACAGCAGGAGGAACCAGAACTAGGGATCATCTGCCCCTGCAGGTGATCTACATCGCTCGAAATCCAAAGGATGTGGCTGTCTCCTATTATAACTTCTACAACATGGCCAAGGGGCTGTTCCCTGATCCGGGTACCTGGGAGAGTTTCCTGGAGAACTTCATGGATGGGGAAGGTGAATCTGAGTCTGTAGCCAGGAGGGGGCTGGACCCAGGGGCAGAGCTGGAGCTAACAGGGCCTGTGTCTGTGCTGTCTTGTCCCCAGTGTCCTATGGGTTGTGGTTCCAGCATGTGAAGGAGTGGTGGGGGCTGACACACACTCACCCTGTTCTCTATCTCTTCTATGAAGACATGAAGGAGGTGAGGCTGCCTGCTACCACTTCCTTCTGGGTCCCACAGGCAGGAACCTCAGGAACCTGGCCCTGTCCTGGCCCTGAGCCCCATCCCTATCCCAGCCCCACCCCAGACAGCACCTCTCATCTTACCTCCTGGTTCAGGACCTCAGCACAGCTCAGCACAGAGCATGCTCAGCCCTTATCTTGGAGGAGGTGTCAGTCATGTGCCAGGATTGACCTGGTGGCTTGCTGCTCTTGCTTCTCCCTGCTCCAGAGGTGCCAAGTCTGGGCACCAGAGATCAAAGTCTGTCCCTGTCCTCTCCAGAATGAACGCAGAGATCATGCCAAGATGGCAGGGTAGGAAGCTACCTATTCTGCCCCAGGGAAAGAGGCTCAGACTTAAGACACTGAGAGTCAAGAGGTCCTTAGTGAAAAGGCAAAGATAGCTTCCTGTCACATCACAGAGGTGCCTCCCCTTGTCCCAATGAGCATCATCAACCTCCACTGAAGCATCCTTCTGTGCTCCAGGACCCCAAAAGGGAGATCAAGAAGATTCTGGAGTTTTTGGGGTACTCCCTGCCTGAGGAGACCGTGGATCTCATTGTTCACCACACATCCTTCAAGAAGATGAAGGAGAACCCCATGGCCAACTACACCACCCTCTCTTCTCACCACATGGACCACTCTGTTTCCCCCTTCATGAGGAAAGGTGGGTCTCAGGAAGGATGGGTATTGAGGGAGAGTTGGAAAGCTACCAAAGCCACCTGAGCCACCTCTGTGATTGTCACTCCGTCTTTCTTCTGTCCCTCCCAGGCATTGCTGGGGACTGGAAAAACACCTTCACTGTGGCCCAGAATGAGCGCTTTGATGTTCAGTATGCTGAGAAGATGGCAGGTTGTGACCTCATCTTTCGCTGGCAGGTCTGAGTGACAATATGACTAATCACCCCAGAGAACTGTCGACACCACCATAACACCTCCTTGGGGATAAATGAGCATGGCTTCAACCTACCCCTCCATTACAAGTCAAGGGGAGAACCTAAGCTGCAAGACTGAAGACCAACCAAGACAAACCTTGAGTTTCAAAAGGACTGGGAGTTAGTTCAATGTCATCCTGCTTGGCTGGCCTGTCAGGTCCTGGTTAGGGAACACCAAAAAGGAAAAAAGGTGTTTGGGTTTTTTGTTTGTTTGTTTGTTTGTTTGTTTGTTTTTTAATGCCACAGGCATAGGATTGAGAATTTAAGGACAGCCTAAATGCTCTAAAACACAAAAGGTGAGGTGTGGTGGCAGCACATGCCTTTAATTCCAGCACAGAGAGGCAGAGGCAGGGAGACCTCTGTCTGAGAAAACGTAAGGAGTTCCAGGCCAGCCAGAGCCCCACAGTGGTACCTGATTAAAAACAAGTGCACACTTGTAACCCGGCACTTTGAGATAGAGACAGGAGAACCATATAGATGCTCAGGGTCATTCTGCTCCACCACAGAGCAAATTCCAGGCCAGCCTTGGCTCCTCACAGCCTGTATCAAAGTGAGGGAAAAGAGGAGGCGTAGTGCTGCCAGGACGTGGGCTCCACAGCAGTCAGGTCCAGCTGGGGCCACAGGGCAGGGCTGTTTCCACAGCACTGGAAAGAATACAAAAACAAAGAACTGGTGCCAGAACAGCTGGGCCTCTTCCCATCGCACATCCTGCCGTATGGGGGTGGTGGGGGGTGGTGTAAGCTTGATGGGGGCTGTGGTGCAGTATTTAAACTTGATCAAAATAAAACCCTAGTTGTCTTTCCCAAGAGGACACCACTGGCTGATATAGGCCTGCCAGTCAGCTTTCCCTTTTCTGGGCTCCATGAGGTTGTGGGTCCCTAGGATGGGTGAAGGGGGACCTAATATCCATTTGTGCCTTTGTTGGCTTTCTACCCTTAGCAACAGGTGGTAAGCATCCATTGCTTTATGAGTCTCTCCCCCAGCAGAGATTCTCTCTATCTGAAACCCAGCCCATCTCCTCTGTATGTGATGGGTCTCTCTGTACCTGTCATACCACAGGGAGAGGAGGTTGGGGTGCCCATTCTTACTCCAGCCAAATAACAACCAGAGACAGAGACCCAGTCCCTGCTACAGAAGGGGCTCATAGAAGCTTTTCAGGAGTTCTCAACTTCCTAATGCTGTGACCCTTTACTACAGTTCCTCATGTTATAGTGACCCCCAACCATGAAATTATTTTGTTGCTACTTCATAACTGTAATTTTGTGACTGTTATGAATCAGAAGGTAAGTATCTGATATGCACGATATCTGACATGTGACCCCCGTGTAAGGGTCATTCTACCCCCAAGGGAATCATGACCCACAGGTTGAGAACTGCTGCTTTAGACAAATATGAAAAATGGAGGGAGAGCCAGGTGGTGGTAGCACATGTTTTTTTTGTTTTTGTTTTGTTTTTGCGATAGGGTTTCACTCCATGGCTTTGGAGCATGTCCTGGAACTTGCTCTGTTGCCCAGGCTGGCCTCGAACTCACAGAGATCCACATGTCTCTGCCTCCCCAGTGCTGGGAATGAAAGTCCCAGCACTGGGGAGGCAGAGGCAGGTGGATATCTGAGCCAGCCTGGTCTACAGAGTCAGTTCTAGGACTGCTTGGGCTGTTACACAGAGAAACCCTGTCTCAAAAAAGACAAACAAACAAAATTGTGATTTGAAAAAAAAAATCAAAAAGGAGGGAAAGGAATCACCAGATAGTAAACTCTAAATCCAAATAAATCCCAGGCCCCACAGGCTGGAGAGACGGCTTAGCAATTAAGAGCACTTGCTGCTCTAGTACAGGACCTGATTTCTGTTCAGTATCCATACTGGGCACCTCACACCAGCCTGTGACACTAGCTCCAGGGAAGAGATGCCTCTGGCCATCACAGCCACCTGCACTCACAGACATATATATCACCGAACACACACACATAATTAAAAATAATCTTAGCTGTCTTAAGAGCCCTGGCTGCTCTTTCCAAAGGTTCTGAGTTCAATTTCCAGCAACCACATGGTGGCTCACAACCATCTGTAATGAGATCTGATGCCCTCTTCTGTCATGCAGGCATACATGCAAATAGAACACTTAAATAAATAATAAATAAAACTCTTAAAAAGTATTAAAATAATAATAAAAATACAATTCTTTAAAAGAAAGGGCTAGGGAGATGATTCAGTGGTTAAGAGCTCTTGCTGTTCTTCTGTGGTACTTCAGTTCAGTTCCTAGCACCCACATCAGGTGCCTCACAACTGTCTGTGAGTCCAGCTCCAGGGATCAGATGCATGTGGCCTTACAGCCACCTGCACTCATGTGTAATGCCCATATGCACACATTTACACCTACACATAATTTAAAATAATAAAAATAATTATTTAAATAAAAGGAAAAAGTAGCTGGTTGGTGGTGGCGCAACCCTTTAATCCCAGCACTCAGGAGGCAGAGGCAGGCGGATCTCTGTGAATTTGAGCCCAGTCTGGTCTACAGAACAAGTTCCGGGACAGCCAGGGTTACACAGAGAAACCCTGTCTGGAAAAGCAAACAACAACAAAAGATAAGGAAAAGCCAGGTTGGGATTAACTGGGGGAAGGAAGGGAACTGTTTGTGGGGGAGTCATAGGAGGGGTATATATGAGAGAACCATGTGAGAAAAAAAAGTTTAATGACATCACAATGATAACACATGGGAAAATTTATGGCTGCATACAAGTCATAAATCAATGAAGCTGGGCATGGGGGTTCATACCTGTAGTCTTAGCACTTGGAATATCAGGGCAGGAGGATCCACCCACATTCAAAGCCATCCTCAGCTACAGAGCAATGTTGAGGCCAGTCTGGGCTAAATGAAACTGTGTCTTGAAATTCCCTTCTGAAGGGAAGATTGAAGCTTGTAAGACTCAGAACGTTCATGAAGCTTAACAGGGGCAGGACGCTCAAACCCTAAATGTCTCCAGCAGCTGGAGACACCTGTGCTGCCTTGTCACCTAAGCTCCTGTAAGTCACCCCCTTTTCCCCCACAGGGTAGCTCCTTAGCTCAGTAAGGTGGAACCTTGTGGGAGCCCACAACTGACTCAGTTTCTCAGTTTGAATCTGAAGTCTATTTTGAGTCAATAGAGTTCAAGCTTGCTTGCTTCAGGGCTGTGAGAAAGTCCTGATTAGCCCAGGGGAAGGAACACACTATCTAGCTAGACGTAGGCTACTGATGCCAGCCGGGGGTATACTGAGATAGAAAAAGAAACTGCCTGCTCCTTGACGCAAGGCAGGATAGACAGTGGCTGAATGCCTGCGCTGTGCATTGTTCTACCTCTGTCCTTCCAGACTGTATATCAGCTGGCTGTGAAATAAACTCAGGTACTGTCCAGCATTGACCGGCAGACCTCTTGACTCTTTTCTGTCTTCTTCATTGTCTCTGCAATCCACACGCCTCCACCCGGCTACCCAGCTGACTGGTCAGCAAACTCCAACAGAACCTGTGGACCTGTTCCTTTACTCTGGCTTTGGCACCCTTTTTGGGCTGAACAACTGTTTGGCAATATCTTCCATGGAGAAGACACCCAAATGTTCCCATCCCCTGTGACTGAGCAGCCCATGGTCCTACGCAGGGGCAAGTGTGGTCACATCAAACCTAAGGATATGGAGATCTGAACTCCACTGGGTTGGCTTCCATGGGCCAGCAAACAGCATTCCAGGTGAGGAGCAAGACTCAACACTGCTTCCCGGGAGGCACATAGAGCCTGCCAGAAGTCTTTGTCTTGTCTGAAAATTGGGGTGTTGAGAAGGAGGAGAGGCGTGTCCAACTGCTTGGGAACTGAAACCCTGAGCACGATCACTCTCCCAGAGGGCTGGCAGCGGACCACCCTGCGGTCTGGGGGCTACATGGGTGCTGGCAGCCCAGACCAAGAGCAGATTGAGAAGGCTTGTGAGCAGCCTTCGCAGGGACTTAGGACAGAACTTCCTTCCTTCCTCCCTTCCTTCTTGTCTGTCTTTCTTTCTTTTTCTTTTCTTTTTTTTTTTTTTTTAAGTTGGGACCTGAAAGACCTAGGTGGGGAGAGGAATCCATCCAAGTGTACTAACTCCAATGGCTGGAAGGGAGGCAGGAAAAGCCAAGTCTCTTAGTTACCTCAGAGCCCCTCCACATGAAAGGGGCTGATACAGCTGGTCCTGATTTACAACTTAAGGACTGTTCAGGCCTGGGTCCCTCACTTCCGCCACTCTGGGGTCAGAGTTTTCTGCTCAGAGACATGGATGTGCGGGAGCTCTTCAGCTAAGCATCCATTCACCAGCCTGGGAGAGAGATGGGATTGAAAATGATCGACCTCAGCTGGGGTGGTAGGCTCTGAAGCAAGCATCATCAGGGAGACAGATGTCTCCAGGAAGTGGGGATTTGAGGAGAGGAAAGAAATCCAACCACAAAGGCAGGGGCACTCTCGGGTTATGGGCCACATCTTGGGACTTTGGGAGTGAGTCCCCCACCAGGGTGGCCAGAGACAGGAGCTGCAGTCTGGGAAACTCAGGTTAATGTCTGGTGCCTGTGGAGGCCAGAAGAGGGTAAAAAATCCACTACAGTCCTAGATGGTTGTGAGTTCCCAAGAGGGTGCCAGTGCTCTTAACTACTCTCTCCAGCCTCCAGGCCCCTCTTCCTCCATCGCCCCCCTTTTAAAGCAAGGTCTCACTATGTAGCCCAGGCTGACCTTAACTCAGGTTATCAGGATTGCGTGGCAAAGTGCCTTTACCCACCTAACCATCTCACTGGCCCCTTATTTTATTAATAAACTTCAACAGATTGATACGGTGAAAATTGGCTACAGAGAAAATGTATTTTTGTAAAAACATCTCAAACAAGGATGTGAGAAACAAAATGGACCATGTTTACTTAGGACTATGGTGTTTGTAACCCTGAGGTTTACCACATTAACACTCCTCATTCCTAAGTCTAACCACTATACCTCAGGAAACCATCTTACAACTTTTCTAGACGGGGTTTCTTTGTGCAGTCTTGGCTATCCTGGAACTCATTCTGTAGACCTGGCAGGCCTTGAATTCAAGAGATCTGCCTGCCTCTGCCTCCAGAGTTTTGGGATCAAAGGTGTGTGCCACCACTGCCTGGCCACCCTGCAACTTTTTACAAAGGGAAATGTTTAAGAAGTATAAGTAGCCGAGCAGTAGTAGCAGGTGGATCTCTGTGAGTTCAAGGCCAGCCTGGTCTACAAAGCAAGTTTCAGGACAGCCAGAGCTGTTATACAAAGAAACCCTGTTTCATAAAAAACAAAACAACAAAAACAAACAAAAAAACCCACTAATACATTTTTAAAAAAAGACTTTTTTTTTTTATATGAGTACTCCATCTGCACATATGCATGCATGCCAGAAGAGGGCATCAGATCTCATTATGGATGGTTGTGAGCCACCATGTGGTTGCCGGGAACTGAACTCAGGATCTCTGAAAGAGCAACTAGTACTTTTGACTGCTGAGCCATCTCTCCAGCATCAGGAAGATATTCTTTTTGTTTTGAGACAGAGTTTCTCTGTGTAGCCCTGGCTGTCCTGGAACTTGCTTTGTAGACCAGGCTGGCCTCGAACTCACAGAGATCCCCCTGCCTCTGCCTCCTGAGTGCTGGGATTAAAGACATGTACTACCACACCCAGCACAATCTTTATTTTTTTCTAAGATTTAATGCGTATGCGTGTTTTGCCTGTATGTGTCTGTACACCACCTGGTGCCTATGGAGGTCAGAATAGGGCATGAGGTCCGTTGGAACTGGATCTGATTGTGAGCCCTCATGTGGGTGCTGGGACCTGAAACTGTTAACTGTTAACAGTGCTCTTAACTACTGAGTTATCATTCCAGCCCATTTGCTTAATCTTTAAATCTTGTTACAATTGCACCCTGTAGGGAAAATGTGAAGTTTTGAGTGTGTTAGATTTCACAGGAGGCAAAATGAGACCAGAGTCTGAGCTCAGACAAGACTGTGTTTATTAGCACACACAGAGAGGGCCAGCCTCTCTCCCTGGGGGAAATGGAGGGATGTGCAAGGGAGAAAAGCTAGCTGGGGCCCTTTACAGAGCCTTGGGAATGACGCTGATGCAGCTGTGGGGCTGTGTAGGAGCCTGAAGTCTCTCTTCCCTGGAGTTGTTTGCGTCAGACAAGCCAGGTTATCTTGGAACACAGGCTCTTTTTGCAAACATTCCTATCCGGGCTGAGTAAAGCTGAGTAGGGTCAGCTGTAATCTCCTAATAAGTCTGTTTTTACAAAGCAAGAGGCACTCTACCACAGTGAGTGTGTTGTTTACCTGGGCAAGGCTAAACCAAGGAACCATAGGAGAGGCAAAGCCTTCTTCCCCAGGGTGAAGTTCAGTGGGATGGCAAAGCCTTTCTCCTGAGTGCAAATGTTGACAGTGTTTGCAGAAAATGTCCATTCTCCACATGTTTACAGCCTGCAGATTGATGCCTTACAGAGTGCTCCTGCCATGGTTAGCTGAACCTGCCTCCTTGTTTATCTGATGGAATAACCCCACCTCCTTGTTCAACTGTAATAAAAGTGCTGAACTAGAGTGTTGCAGCTAAATCCAACCCCAGCTTTTCTGTACCTGTTTCCATGTGTCATTTATTTATCCCATCAAAAACACTCAGGGACTGAGGCTGTGCAGGATGAGGCAGCATCCTTTGAGGAGTGTAACTTGGAAAATGACAGGATCATATAGCCCCTGTAAAGAAATCTAAGCATGACTACTAAGTAGGCCACACCCAGGTCCTGGGATGTACATTGTCCTTTTCCTGTGTGACTGTCTCAATACTTAATAAACTCACTAGCTGCTTCACTCCGACTCATCCGAAAATCAAGGATCTGACCTTCCCTAGTGGCTGTCCCCAAGGTAAAGGGAGCACCTCAGATGCTGGTCCTGTGTTGGGATATCCTCTAGCACTGACAAATCGTTCATTCAACTTGACACTTCTCTGTTTCTTTTGGCTTGTGTGATGAAAGATTTGTCAATCTTGTCTTTTCAGAACCAACCAACGGCCGTTTCATTGACCCTTTGTGTTTTCCCAGGCTCCATGTCTCTAATTCCTGCCCTGTTCTTTCCATTTACTCATTTGTGGGTGGACTTTTTTCTAAGTCTTGAGATGCATGAATTTACAGCCTCATGAATGCTCGGCAAGAACTCTACCAATTAGCCACATCCCCAGTCCCAGTTCTTAGGAATTTTTAAGTTGCCTTGTTCAGTCAGAACTGAACTGCATGCTCACTCCTGCATGATCTGGAAAGCCCCATTCCTATCTCTCTCCAAACCCCGCCCCCTCAGAGAGCCTCTGAAGAAAAGGAGCCAAAAAGTCCAGTTCCCCACATTCTTGGCAGCTACAGCAGCTCCTCCCCTGAAGTTGCAGTTGCCCAAGTCCCCGCCTAACGTGCTCAGCTTTTGACCAGATTTGGGCGCAACCCAGCTTGTGGTGGATACATCATCACCTCTTGCCTAGCCTATAAAGTCTGCCTGTTTTGTTTGTGGGTGTGGCTTCTCCAGCCTCTATTTCTGGGACTAGAAAACTCGCCTGGCAGTTGTTTTGCATAAACAAACCTGTTGTTACACTTTTTCAGTTTGTCTTGACCCCACTTTTTGTGTCAGCAGAGAAACCTTTCAGTCCTCCCTGATCTCAATGAACGCAGGTTGTTACAAAATCTATTGTTCATCTCCATGTATCTGTATAGTATCTGTACAGTTCCTTTGTTTGAGACAGGGTCTCCCTAAGGCAGTACTGGAACTTGATAGTCTTGATAGCTCAGACTGGCCTTGAACTCAGAGATCTACCCACATGTGCCTCCCATGTTCTAGGATAAAAGGCATGCACCACCTCACCTGGCCTTTATAGTTTCTGTCATCTCTTGTCATTTATCTTGTTTTATTCCACTCTGATCTTATTAAATGCAAAAAACAAAAACCCCAACCAACCAACCAACCAACCAAACAGGTCACTGAGATGGCTTAGTGGATGAAGGCACTTGTCCCCAAGTCAGACAACCTGATCTCAACCCCATGGCCCATGTGGTGGAAGAGAACTGACTCCTGCTAGATGTCCTGACCTCTTGTACTGTGGCGTGTGCTCCCGCGCTGGCCTGCGTGTATGCACACACAATGTAGCAAGATTTGAGAGATATGAAAATATATTCTAATTATTTTGTTGTTTGTTAAGACTAGCTTTCAGATTAAGATGTGACCTGTTTTAGAGAAGATCCCATGGGTGGCTGAGAACATGTATTCTATAGCTTTGAGCTGGAATTTTGTATAGATGTCATTTAAATGTAACTCTGGTTTTTCTTGTTCGTTTTGGTCTGGATGCCATAGCTACTGGTACAATTGGGTATTGAAGTCATCTACTATTATTGTATCTGGACCCATCTGTCCTTTTATCCCCATTAGCCTTCATGGAGCTGGAAGGCCCAACATTTGGTGCATATGTATTTACAATTGTTCTATTTTCTTTATTAATCCATACTGGCTTCTTGACTTCCATTCTTTCACATTCAGTCTCTGTATGTGTTTCTTAGAAACCAAAATAAATTTAATTTCTTTTAAAAGACACAGCCTCAGTCAGGTGTAGTGGCACACAGCTTTAATAACAGCATTTAGAAGGCAGATCTCTGAGTTTGGGGGCAGCCTGGCCTACATACTGAGTTTCAACACTACTAGACCTTGTCTCCTCCCTCCCCACAAAGACGACAAGAGTCTCACTATGTCACCTTACC